TTACCACGCATGCCGAGCGGTTGTCACCCGAGTACCGCGAGCGAAACTCACAAAATTTAGGCGTTTTTTCAAATGAAAAATTTAACCCCTTAGCAAACTCATTTTTGGATGTTTAAAAGCGCGTTTTAATCTTTGCAATCTCAGCTACAACGTGGGATAAATATGAAAATCCTATTTCATCGCATTTCTAATAAAAAATTGTGGGGAAGTTTCGGGTGCGCTTGCGATATCTCGAGAGCTCCGTCACGGGATCATCTCCGAAAACAATAATTTTGTGAGAATCTGCATTATCATTAAAGATGATATCACGCAGAAACTGGACCAGATTGGCCGGCGCGTTCGGAAGTTATGGCTAATTAAGTGTTTCCACTTCAAGGGGGTGTAGGTCCCCCTAAAGTGATGCTACAGGGATTCAGTGGGGGTGTTTTTTGACTGCCGAAGGATGCTTTTTTTCGTGCTATAATTAGAAATATGAATTTCCTTCTTGAACTACTAGTTCTCGCACTTTTCAAAAAGTCCCAAAATGAACTATTTCACTCCAAGCCCTGCCGTTCGGTCATTTTGTATTCGAACGGGAAGGAAATTTCCTAAAAAATATGTCTTCGGTTTTTCGAAATCGGTCACAGTTTCACAGAAATACACAAAAGTTCAAGTGTTTCACTTCAATTGGACGTTACTGTATATTAAAGAATATGGTAGAGTTAATTTTGTAAGCCTAGTTTAATTTATGTATGTTTATGTGTGAACCTACAAAGGGAGGGAGTGTGGAAAACTTAGAGGCTTTATGCGGTTCGACGTAGAGAGGCTCCCCACCCTTTTGGGGCCCAGGACGGCAGCGCCTCTACTGGTTGTTCAGGTCCATTCAGGTTCTAGTTCTTGTGCTAGAGTGTCACGTTTAAAATAAAATTTTTAACCGTTAATTTTTTCGTTTTGCGTACCAAGCCTTCCCAATAAATGTTACACAGAAGTCTAACAACTACTCTAATACTATATGTTTGTTATTAAGCTTTTACCGTGATTATTTTTGACGAGTTATTTTTAATATGCTCTATGTAAAAAGTTGACACTAGTTTTGAGTTTAATGACTGAAATTTATATCAAGAAATGCACGGACTCGCGAAGTAATACTCGATAAGGAATCATCTAAACTTTTAATAATTATTAAATGACCATTAAATCATAATTAAATACGGGAAGCAGTAGTAATGTAAAAGAGTAGCGAAAACGTTATAGGAAATTTTGAAAATACAATTAAAATGATGGGCCAGTGCTACATCATATTATGTACTTGGCATTAATAATGTGATTTCAATACTTTTCGTTAGAGGAATTCACAGCACTCCTGAACTTAGCGTAGTTTTTTACACGTATGTAAGTGTTTTTTTGGGTATCCTGGTTTCTTTAACCATCAATCTCAATATCCAGGTATGAGGTTTATAACATTTACCATTCTCAATATCTAATTGCTTTTGAATAACGTTTCTCATGGTTAGGTGTTCCTGACTATGCTGGATTCCACTCTTTACATGCAAATATGATGAAGCTGAAACTATCAGCCAGAGCTAGCAGCCAAGCGCGCCGTACCCAAGGTTAAAAAGGCGCGCGGGCCTTCAGGTCTTTTCATTTGCTATTTCGAACTTGAGACTAGTAGAATTAAATCGATATGATCGCTATTACTTTAAAATAATTACTTGATTCAAATTAACCAAACAATTACATAAATTAAGAAATCCTACGTATTCATCGTACGATTTGCCTACCATATAGCGCACGGATGTAAGCGTAACAGCCAAACACCTGGAACATTGATAGAAATTTCAAAATGAGCATAAATGCTGTATTTTTTATGCTTTAATCAGTAGTCAGAAAAATCAGGAGGAAGCAAGCCCCCTAATTATTTCTTTTCGAGCGCTAAAGATGCCTAATTATTTGTGTCATTTTGTGTCCAAAAATAAATCTTGGTTTATTATGTGCCATACAATTATATTAGAATAATATTCTTAATTTGAAAAGTCGAAGATAATAACATTATTAAATTAAAAATTCATAGCCGGTTGGCTCCCTGGCATACAATGTTGAGCTTTGAACGTTTATTACAAATTCTAAGCTGCAAAGCGAATACTATAAACGACATTTCTTTCTATCCGCATATTATTGTTCACTACATCTCGCGTGGTGTCATGATTTGCTACAACGCAAGGCAGCACTGTAGTCCAAGTTAATTCGCCGAGCAGTACGGTTCCCTCTCATGTTAGTTCGTCTGATCAACGAACTTCAAATTCATTGTTTCTACTGCGAAAGCTTGTATTTTCACTTTTTTCAATTTTTAATTTTTAATTTTCGACTTTTATGGATACTTCATTGCGTCTAACGCTTGCTTTAAGAAGATTTTATCATAGCTTATCTCCATAGATTATTAGCATGACTAGTTCTTCTGGTGTTTAATATTTGCTCTAAAGTATAACTTAATATTTTTCTTCAGCATGTCGATAATGAAAGAAAAACTAGCTCAGATTTTAATTAGTCGTCTTAATTGTACAAAGGGCGAGGATCTCGACCATGTGATAAACTCATTATTATCGTATTCATATAAATTAAAGAATTCCACCTGGTTCCACATTTTTCGTGATATTATGCCAGAAGCAGTCGAGAAAAAAATTTTTAAACATACGAGAAAATGTTACTACCGATTACGGAACAACTCGGCAGCAACTAAACCTATAAATTCCTCGCATTTTCAGAATGTTGATAATGTTTCAATAAATTACGATGACGTAAATGTTATTGATTATGATAAAGGATATAACAAGCAGATTGATGCATATGAAAGTCGTCATAATAGTGAATACGAAATACGCTCTGGCAACGAAATATTCCTCACAAATGTTTCTTTGGCTTACGAACATGAATCGAGTAGAACCTTCTCTTTTATCATTCAGTATATGGGAAATTCCAGGAGAATTCGGCCAAGAAATGACCTCATATTTTTTAAAACGTTAAAACTTTTTTAATATGAAATAGACATGAAAATAATCGATACGTATTTTTTTGTTCGTCCGAAATATTTTTTGCAAAGGTACAAATTATTGAATTTTGTTGCAAAATTATCGCTTCGGTAACTTCAAGAATTAATATCTCCGTTTTTATTTATCGTAGATAGACGAACCAACGGTCTTTCAAAAGCTGAAAGAATAACCTATAAGAATAAATTTTGTAAGTCGTAAAAAAATTTCTGTTTGTTATAAAGAATTAAATTATTTAAAGATTTTTCGACAGAAATCGGCCATTTTCAAAATTTTGACAAAAAATGATGGGATTCGGCATTCAATTCTACTTCATAAAAGAAATTTGTTTACGATGGAGGTTTCATGGAGTCTATTTTTTAAATGTTTAATACGGCGGTGCAGCGGCATAAAATAAATTTGAATTCAGTATCTAATGCACGGAGGGAATCGACTATAAGTTATTAATTTAATAACGTTATCATCCACGAATTTTCAAATTAACAATATTATTTTAATAGAATTGCACGGTACATCATAAGTCAAGATTTATTTTTCGACACAAAATGACACGAAGAGTTAGGCATCCTTAACGCTCGAGAAGGAATAATTAGAGGACTTGCTTTCTCCTGATTTTTGGACTACTGATGAAAGCATAAAAAATACAGCATTTATGCTCATTTTGGAATTTCTATCAATGTTCCAGGTCCTTAGCTGTTAAGCTCAAAGTCGGTTGCCATATGGCAAGCAAATCTTGCGATGAATACGTTAGATTTCCTAATTTATGTAATTGTTTGATTAATTTGAATCAATTAATTATTTTAAACCAATTGTGGCCATGTCGATTTAATTTTACTAGTCTCAAGTTCGAAATAATAAATTAAAGATCCGAAGACCCGCGCGCCTTTTCGGCCTTGGGTACGGCGCGCTTGGCTGCTAGTATCTGCTTTATGCAAATATATACTGTATCATTGTTTTCAATATTGTGGTACTTCAAATCATTGTTCCTTTAGCCCAAATGTCTTTACTTTGATTGTCTCAATAATTCTGATCAACAGTTCTCATTTAAATTTCTAAACCCAATGTTAGGTCAAATGTTTAGGTATTTCATACCATCATTTCTTATGCTTAAATCCGATTATAATTGTATGAGTCCCATCAGTCATTCCTATATTTAGAATACTAATAACTTGGTACTTCACATATTTGTTGTAAATATCCAAATATCTCCAATCATGGTTTCTTGAATACTCTGACCATCTATGTTTTAGTTTAAATAGTCTAAAATATCGTTTTTAATGTCTTGGTACTATGAATCATTGTGCCGTGTGTTTAAATAATTTTGTTTAGAGCATCCTAAACAGCAAATAATAACTTCTGATGTCTAAATACTTCTAATCAGCATAAATGCTCAGGTATTCCTGATTATTATTTCTAGCAAAAGTATATAGTTTTCAGGAACACAGGCACCAAACAATGCCGCGAGGAACTACCAAGAGCTAATTGATGATAAAATACATGTCTATCTATTTGTCTGTGGTGTTTCCTCATCCACCACACCTCAATATAACAATATAAATTGAAATTAATTAAATCTATTAGGTTGGATTTCTTTTTGGTTGTATAATATTTTGCTAATTCCAATGGAATATTAACTAATCTTATTTCTGTTTTTGAAATTATAAACTTTTTCTTAAAGAATGTTAGGCATTTTCTTGATAACAATATGTACTTTTTATCGAAACAATGTCTTAATTATAACTAATATATTATTGAATGTAAATATATTAGATAAACCTAAAATATTACATCATCCTGAAAGACTATTAGTTAATGATTCTGTTAGTTAATGATTTCAAAATATAAATACTAAATAAAATAAATACCCATGAATCATTAAATATATTCAGGAACAATAACTAATTATTTGCTAAACTATTTTACAAAATATCAAATTGAAATTTCAATGTTGCAAATTGATAAGATAAGAATTGAAACCTTAATATCATCCAGCTTCGATGACAATGCCTCAGCAAGAAAACTTCGTGTTAAGGAAAAAGATGATTTACACAGAGGGCAGTCATCCATTTGTGTCCTGCAAAAGTTGCATATATGATGCCCCCGTATACATTGATATATGGTTCCCACTGGTCGTTCATAACATACAGGACATTGAAGTAACTCTTCTAAGTCCTCACACCACTGAAAAATGAATACATAACAATTACTAACAGTATGTAAACATAAATATCAGCTAAAGTTGATGTAGAAGAGATTGCAATCCTCAAAGGATATAGCTATACTTTAGGTATTTGTACCAACTACAGTAGTGTTCAACAATTTCAATTAATCGTTTTACTTCACTTATTTTTAAATAAAGAAATGAAACTAGGAGACACTGTAAATAAGATATTGTAACTAATTAAGAGACACTGTAGAGTCTCGCGCCAATTACATATGCATAAATGTAATCAAATCAGGAATTTAGAGTCTATGATTGTATTGGTCACAAAAGTTCATAGCAAAAAAAAAGGTATTTTGATGATAAAGCAAAAAAACATGTACCTTTAATCTAATTTCTTCCACCATGTCGTTCAAAAAATGTTTACTTTCTACAGTACCAGTAATGTTATCTCTGAATTGTTCTAATCCAAGAAATGCCAACCACACCAATTTACCACCCGAACACACCGATGGTGTGTTAATTCATACATTTAGACGACGGTATTAAAGTGGTTTAGCTAATACTGATTAAAGGAATTGACTAATCCCAAATATTCCTTGCAAGTAAAAATGTCTACTATTTGTCTATTCCTTAGGTCAGTATTAAGTAAACAGATTTAAGCCCATTGTGTAAGGGCCCAGTCACACTCGCCAACCGCGCGATTAAACGCAAGTCCCAACTAATAACACAACGAGAATTCCTCTGGAAGTGATACACCATTGGTCGACCGTCTGCGTTCTATTACTGAATTCTCCTTCCTTCCTTTCCTTATGGCTGACTCCTGCAATGAGGAGATGTGTCAGACCACTGAATTCTACCCATACTGGAATCCGTACGCCTGTATTCACCTCTGTCAAGTTAGGCAGGCAACTTTGACTTTTCGAATTTCTTTACTTGCACATCGATGGTTAGTCATTTATTATTGATTGCTAGACTAATTAAAAAATTTGTTAAATAACAGTTTTTTGCAATAACAAAAATAAATTGTAGTGTTCAGTTAGCCGAAAAATATTGACTTTTTCACAGTTTTTGTTTCGAAACGGGTGCAATCGATGTGGAAACGTTTGTTAGTCCCGAATAAACTAATAAAAACATTTGTTACATCACGGTTTAGCTTAAAATAGCGAAAAACCGTCTACCGTTTGGCTGGCCGGGAGTGGACGTTAGGCGTGGAATATGCGATCTAAAGATAGCCGTGGTCGTAGGATGTAGTGTACAATTCGACGATTGATTGTGCAAAATTTTAAATAAATTGCCTTTGTTATTGTCGAGAAAATGATTAAATTAGGGAGGAATATCGCCTTATTATGAATTATTCTGTGCAGACATGGCAACGTTGTAGAAGAGTATCGTGATTATTCTGTCGGTAACGTAGTGTCTACTGTTACCTACAGAATAAGTGTGAACCATCGACATATAGTACTGGACTGCTCACTGTTGCCGCAGAAAGTGTAATCAAGATTTTTAACGTAGCGCCATTATCAAATGTAATGCTGATCGCATTAGAGTCCCTCTAGTCTGAGTCCGGCCAACACCCGGAAGGGACGCCATGTTTAGGGCTCGTTTGGCGCCGCTATGACATTGCGCGCGGATTTTCAAACTATCAATCTTTACCATCAAGAGACTCGGTCGAGTCTCGCGCCAAGTACAGGCAACCCGCCGTACCGGGCTTAACCATCGACATATAGTACTAGACTGCTCATTGCAGCTTCAGAAAGTGTAATCGAGAATAGAAAGAGAGAGCACATCGTAGCAACCGTGCTGTCCTTTTCTATAACTTTTCTATTGGTCGAAAGGTTTCTCGATGGAAGGGGTTTAGGACTGTAATATGCAAAATAAGAACCATGTGAAAGATTACTCCGCACATCTAGAATATATGTACGTTGTTACAGTCGAATCATGGAGACAAAAGCCTCCGTGAGTCAAATCTCAATTGTCGTGATTACTTTATTGTAGTTGAGTTTATCAAAATTCAATATTACTAAAAAAATGGCGATTCGCTGTGTTAAGTGTGGGCTATCGCGAGACCTGTATTTTGAGCCCAATACGATAAGCATTCACAATAAAGTAAAATGGAAAAATAACCTTAAATTTTATGATTAACATAAGATTAAATCAATGTTTAAACTTATAAAATATATAAATAAAGTTCATCGTGAAACATACATTTTACTGCGCGGGGTTCCCTTATTCCTGATTCCGCTCCTGCCCAAGAGAAGGACAGCACGGTTCCTACAATGAGCTCTCTCTTTCTATTTTCGATTACACTTTCTGCACTACAGTGAGCAGTCCAGTACTATATGTCGATGGGCTTAACACTACCCACACTATACAATGCGAATCTCTCCCATATACGTATTCACACACACCTTCATATTCCGGAAAGAGCCCTCAAAATGGCGGAGCCAATCAGTAAGAGGCCCACCGTGGGCCAGACTCTGACTAGAGGGACTTTAGATCGCACATAGATATAGAAAAGACATAGATGTAGCATAAACTGATATTGTCTGCGAGGGGCGTGAGGAAAAATGAGGGGGGGGGAGTTCGCTGCATAACCAATCAAGTTCAAGCTGACTCCTCCCTTACTGTGCCTTAACATGATTGATACTACTATTCCTTGTTTTACGTAGCACTTTACATCAGAGATGAGTAGGGAGATTGCCAATGAGCCTGTTTTTGGTGGTCTCAATTTTTCTCTGGTTTCGGCGCGCCACCTTAGCGGAGGGCCCTCGAAGCAGTTCCACGTTTTTGATTGGTCGTGTATATATAGTAATACTACGCGTGATAATCTGGAGCTGTGTTTTGGCGTGTCGACGCGCCACCTGAACGAGACTCTCGAACTAGTTCCACGTTTTTGATTGGTCGAATGAATTCGTATGTTCCTCGAGATCCACGATTTTAAACCGGGTGACACTCAAATAGGGAACCTTGTATCCACCTTTTTTTTTACAGAATATTACATAAACCGTAGTTATAAGGTAGTCAATACTCTTAATATCCATATGAAGCTCTGGAAATAATAGAGTAAGCAAATAAAACTTTTAAAAAACTCGAACGTGGGTAACTACACAAATATAAGTTTGCTAAATAATATACCACAATGACTCGATAGCACACGTGCTTGGTGCTGGCAGAGATGAGTAGGGAGATTGCCAATGAGCCTGTTTTTGGTGAAGGCAATTTTTCTCTGGTTTCAGCGCGCCACCTTAGCGGAGGGCCCTCGAAGCAGTTCCACGTTTTTGATTGGTCGTGTATATATAGTAATACTACGAGTGATAATCTGGAGGTAAGTTTTGGCGCGTCGACGCGCCACTTGAACGAGACTCGAACTACATCCACGTTTTTGATTGGTCGAATGAATTCGTGTGTTCCTCGAGATCCACGACTTTAAACCGGGTGAACACTCAAATAGGGAGACTTGTAT